AAAAGATAATATATGTAACATAATAAATGCGTGACTTTTTGTGGGGGCCAAAAAATCAACCATATTAATTTTAATATTAAAATAAAATTTTTTGCCCCGATCGGCACTAATTAAGTTCTTTCCTTTATTCGTGGAACACGAATTAAGTAATTCAATTCGATAAGTCTGTTTACTCGATAAGTCAGTCATATGAGCTCACCCCCACATGACCGACTTATCGAGTTTACATATGTATGACATAAATTTTGATTTAATTAGACTAATTTTTGATTGTAAATTTTTTCTCAAAACTGTCGTTGTGGTGCAGAAAGTTGTAGGGACTAGGTATATTTCACTATAAAATAAATCAGCAGTAATGCATCCTTAAAAATTAAAAAATGGTCATCTTCTTATTAATGGCAGCAAAAACTCTCTACCTTTCGATTACTTTATTATTGTTCTTTTCCAATTTTTAATTTTTAATACATCATCATATTTATCGATCGGAGTTTGTTTATTTTGTTTAAAATAGCATTAGTAATAAACTATTATATACAAACTTCATTATTAAGTTTCTTTTTTCCTTTTCTTAAAACAAACCTTTCAGTATAAATAAATATACGCGTTATAATTTAATACACGCACAAAAAAAATAAAATATATCAACTTTTACAAAAATGCCAAGACAACCTAAAAATTCAGCTGCTGCCACTAACAATCCTAGCAATTCCAATACTAATAAATCATCATCATCTGGCAAGGCGACAACAACAGCAGGCGCCAAACAGAAATCCGATCCTGGTAAAACCTCCACTACAAAGACCAAGAAAAGCTCTTCTGAACCTAAAAGAGCACTTAGCGCATATATGTTTTTTGTTCGTGGAAATAGAGAAAAGGTTAAAGCTGAAAATCCTGGTGCAAAATTTGGTAAAAAAGTTTTTTTTCTTGTAATATGGCTATTTTACGATTATATACCATTACATATTTTTCATTGTTCCTTTTTTTTATTAGGTGAAATTGCAAAACTTGTTGGTGAAAAGTGGAAAGCTTTGAATGACAAAACCGTAAGTATGTCCCTCGATAATTATCTCATTAATATTAAACATTATAAATTAATATTAAACGCTATAACATAATTATCGAATTTAGTTTTACAACGAAATGGCTGCTGACGATAAGAAACGTTACGAAAGTTGGTCTCATTTTATTTTATTTTTATTTATTTATTTATAAATTTATAACAAAACAATTAAAAAATTTTTCCTTGACTTTAAAAAAGATGAAAAGGCAGTAACAAATAATGTGAGTTTGGACGCGTTTTTGTTATTAGATTTTGATTATTGGCTTAATTATAATTATAATTATTATTATTATTAGGACACTAGTAAACAACCTCCTTCTAAGACACAAGGTAAAAAGTCATCCAAGTCAAACAGTAGCAGTAAAGCTTTAGAAGAAGATGAAGAATTACCAAAAGAAGATTACGAAGAGTAAAAAAACAAAATTATTTCTTTATGGCTTCTTTTTTTAATTAACCCTTTAGAATTGCTTCCTACCTACCACTATCTGCTATTATTCAATTATTAATGTTATAAATATAAATAAATCGTATTTATAAAGTTTATAATAATTTGAGATTCTTCATTGATACGGCGATATTATAATAAACCAAATTAGAAAGGTTCATTCGCGAGATGTTGATCTGCTCTCTGACCTTGCAG